AAGTTCTACAAACAAATTTATGCGTATAGAAAGCTTCCCTGCAAACCAAAGTTCCCGAAATCTTAAGGAAATCGTTAGGAGTACCTCATTTCTGTAACGATTTTTTTACGAATTTTCAAAGAAAATTATATTAAGTGGTTGACACGAACTCGTAAAGAAATTTCTGTACGAAAAATAAAGAAAATTCTGGAAAAATTCTGAAAGATATTCTTCACATAGACCATTATTTTCGTCCCGAAATTTCGTAAAAGAATGGAAGTGTGCGTAATTTATTTCATTTTAGAAAATTCGGCAAAAAATCTAATTAAATCTTAACGAACTCTTTAAAAGTTCTTTACATTGCAGAATACTCTGCAAAAATGGTTTGCAGGGTTGCTACTTCATATATATATGTATAGAGCGCCTGGTATTGGGAAATAAAAATGTCGCTTTATACAAATAAAACTTCGTTACATAAAATTGACTGCAAGTTTCCTTCAAAAAAATGCAGTTGGTTTCAAAAAGTATGGGCTGATTATCTAAAGCCATAACGTACTTTTGGTCATAGGTAATGCATTACCAAATTGTAGCAGTGGTAGAAAAACAGAAGCAAAACGACTACTTTCTACTATGAATGATCAAAAGTGTTTGCATTCTTCCAAAATTTACAATCACGATGATTGCGAATGCTTCTGTTACATTCACATTCTATACTGAATGGAACTCTAACATTCAATAGCACATTACGTTTGTTTTTGTTTCAAAATAATTTAAGCCACCCAGGCTCTGCCAAATCTACAAAAAAGGCGACCCCGCAATACGGGCCAACTACCGCGGGATTAGCCTGCTAAGCATAGGTTAAAAAATTTCACCTCACATTTGACATCAGTAATGAAAACGGAATGTTAATCACTTGACACCAAAATTTGACGACAGTCTTCGAAATGCACTGCGAATCTACATTTGGTAATTTTTTATGATGTGATGAAAACGCACTTGACACCAAATGAACAGCTATTAGTTGGGGCAGTTTCTGATCTCAGTAATTTTGACATAATGCAAGGTTACACGGTCTTATCGTGCGCATTGTGTAAAAGACTGAAGCCCACCGTCAATGAACTGATTGGGCCTTATCAGTGTGGCTTTAGGCCTGGCAAATTCACCATAGACCAGGTATTCCAATACGAAAAAAAAAGACGCGAGAAAAGGATCGACACTCAGCACTTATTTGTCGACTTTAAAGCCGCTTTCGGTAAACGAGGACAGACGAAGTATCTCCTGTCATAAAACAAACAGTCATCACATTCGCGCCTTGAGACCCACGCCACTGTTGACAGTTATAATTTCGAGAAAGAAGAGAATTTCGTTTACTTGGGAACCAGCAATAACACCGATAACAATGTCACCATGGAAAGCCAACGTAGCATCACTCTTGCCATCAAGTGCTTCTTTGGACTGAGTGGGCAATTCAGAAGTACTAAAGTCCTCTCTCGACGTACGAAAACCACACTCTATAAGTCACTCATCATGTCCGTGCTGTTATATGGCGCAGAAGCACGGACAATGACAACATCCGATGAGGCGGCTCTTGGAGTATTCGAGAGAAAGATTTTGCGGAAGATTTACGGGCCTTTACGCGTTGGCGACGGCGAGTACCGCAGACAATGGAATGACGAGCTGTATGAGCTTTACAACGGCATGGACATAGTGCAGCGAATTAAAATACAGTGGCTCCGTTGGCTTGGCCGGTGCCGTGCAATAAAGCCATAGGAAATAACGCCATATGGCTTTATTTCTCTTCACATGGAGAAATAAAGCCATATGGCTTGACCGTCCGGACGCGCCTCTTGCTTTTGATAGTATACATATGTATATGTATGAGGTTTTCTTTTAAATCAGTAAGATATATTTATATATCTATATATCGTCGATTAAGGTACAAAACCGCGTATCAACATAATTCAAAACCGCGTATCAAGATAACGCAAAACCGCGTATGTGAGGTTACATACATTATTTTATAGAGAGTAAAAACACTCATATTTCAAAATTGTTCTCTCTTTTATAAAGGAATCGCATTTCTGGCTAGTATATTTCAGCACGAATGGATAAGGCTTGAGCGAAAGCTTCGGTTAGCAAATCCAATTTTTGGCAAAACATGTCAGTTACGCGCTTTTGCAGAACGGCGATACGCGGTTTTGTACTTTAAACGACGTTATAATATATACATATTCATATACATATTATGTATATGAGGTTGAGTACTTTTCGTTTTTCTCATTAATAATTTTATACATACATCAAGTTAATATGCATCTTACCGATTTAAAAGAAAATTTCATATACATACGTACATACGTATATCTATACAAATTAATATATATACATATGTATATATCTATGAGATTTTCCTTTATGTCTGTAAGATATACTTATATAAAATTAAAGTGTGTATAAAATTGCTAATGATAAAACCGAAAACTACTCAACATTGCAGACGCTTTATAAGAAAAACTGAATTATTATGAAATATAAATAAAGTGGCAGCACTTTACGCCGTTTTGCAGTTTCTCGTTTCATTGTTTACTTGTTTTTTAATAACAAAATAAACAATCTTTTGTTGTAAAATTTATGTTCCTTTTGAAAAAGTTGTTCAAATAATATATTTTACTAGTGTTTCAAAAGAGAATATTGGTGATTTAGTGCATTTTTGAGCGTGCAATTACTCATAAAAAAGAGCAACATTTCAAAAAAGTTTTTTTTTTTGTTATAATAACCTTTACGGGGATAAAAATGCGCCGAGGGTACCCCTCCTGACAGTTTTGGATGTTTTTGTTGTTTTTCAAGTTGTAACTTCAACTAGAGAATTACCGAGTTACTTTATGTTTATATGCACTGCACTAGGTAAACATTACACAAAAAATTATCAAAGGTGCAATAACGCCATAATGGCTTTATTTCACTTCCACAGTGAGAAATAAGACCATACGCAAAAATATGGCTTTGTTTCTCAATGTAAAGTGAAATAAAGCCATATGGCGTTATATCCTATGGCTTTATTACACGGCATCGGCTTGACCATATCGTTCCAATGGACACCGACGCTCCAGCTCTGAAAATATTCAACTCCAAACCCGATGGTGGTAGCTAAGGACGAGGGAGGCCGCCACTGCGATGGAAAGACCAGGTGGAGAAGGACTTGGCTTCACCTGGCATTTCCAATTGGCGTCAGTTGGCACCAGGGTGTCCGGCTTGTTTTAAACTTTCTTTCAATAAAATTCATGAAATCGATTTAACAAATCTTTTATTTTAAAAATGAGATCTTGTTATAATACAGTTTTTAAAACCAAACACGAATATAATACCTTCAGAGGGTAATAATACACAACTCACTTATATAATAGTGATGTACAAACAATTTTCTTTAAAAATACGCATACACATAACACATTTTGCAATAGTTCTGCGCAAATACTAAATTTATTATAACTCATATTAATCGATTAATCACACAATCCGCTTTTAAGAGCTCGGCGCTAAAAATAAATAGAAACCTATAATAAGGCGAGTGGCCGCTGTGGTGTAGTGGTAAGCAGTGCGCGGTTCCACTCCACAATGCCTGGGTTCGAACCCTGGTCAAAGCAACATCGCAAAAATATAGAAAAAAGGTTTTTTCTTAACAGCGGTCGTCCCTCGGCAGGCAATGGCAAACCTCCGAGTGTATTTCTGCCATGAAAAACAGCTTCTCATAAAAATACAATCGCCGTTCGGAGTCGGCGTAAAACTGTAGGTCCCTCCGCTTTGTGTGACAACATCAAGGCGCACGCCACAAATCGGAGGAGAAGCTCGGCCAAACACTAACATATGTGTAAGCGCCAATCTATTATTATTATTTATTAATAAGGCGAGATTAGCTATTTCCACAATTTCTTCAAAATAACCTATAGTGTCTGAATCATTTACATTTCTGTTGTTGTCATATATTGAGCTATTCAACCTTGATAGCATACTGTTTGATATTGGAAACGTTTTGCAGCAGAAACTATTAGCCTTCATATCACACTTTATTCGAACTATTGAATTAAAGCTTTCCAACCTCATCTCATTTCGAATCTTAGTTTTTGTTGAATTCATTACGGAAAAAACACGCTCAACAAAACCATGTGAGTGCGGCAAGGATAATAATATGTAAGCAATTATGCAAAATTCTTCAGAGTCGGATGAAATGGTTCTGAAAAAAGTTATTCCATGGCAAAGTTAAAAGATTAAAATATTTAGTTTCGGCTGATTTTCTTGACTAGGTAAATTGTGAATTAGAAGGTCCCTGAAACTCGCCCTCTTGTGATTCACACACTTTTCTGGTGACAAAATCAAAGCTTTTTTAAAAGTTTTTAATTGACTAGGTAATCGTTTCAAAAGTTCTTCGATTAGGGTGATTAGAAATTTCTGACAGTCTTTTAATATGCTTCTTAAGTCAAGTCCGTGATAAACGCAGTTCATTAGCCGCTTCTGTAAAATTGTTGTGGAAAACTAAGTTTTGTATATTTTTACAATTGGAAAAAAGGGAAAAAATCGCCTATGGCGATTTCCTAATCGCCAAATTGGCGCGAAAACGCCAAATCTGGGCACTCTGGTTGGCACAGAAAAGAAACGACTGGCGTGCTTTGTTGAACTCGGTCAAAATCGCTTAGGCGGTTATAGCGCCAAATAAGAAGACGAAGAGTTTTGGATATAATGAAAGGAGGTGTTTATTTTGTCTTTACTAGTAGATGGCATTGGTTATGATGACAATTTTGGTACTAAAAGCTGAAAGAAAACATGAATTACTTCTTAACAGCGCTCTTACACGATATGTATCTGCATATGTAAATGCTCTTTTTTGCATCTACTCGTATGTACATATGTACCATATATTAGAACGCACCAGAAAAGTAGCATTTACAGCGCTCTAAGTTGCTTACCTAGCTTCCCAGTATGATACATAAATATATACATATATACGAATACAAAAAATTTTTCAGGGACGCAATGATTGTTACTTCGTTGGATACTGCCACAAGTATGTTGGCAGGTATATCCATTTTCGGAATACTTGGAAATTTGGCGCATAATCTTCAAATCACTGACATTAAAGAAGTAATAAAAAGCGGTACTGGTCTTGCCTTCATTTCATATCCGGATGCCATTGCGAAGTTTCAAGCCGTTCCCCAGGTTTTCGCCGTTCTTTTCTTTTTCATGCTATTTGTTTTAGGAGTAGGTTCCATTGTCGCCCTACAATGTACCATTGTCACAATCATATGTGATCAATTTAAATCGCTCCGGTACTGGAAAGTTGCATTGCTAACATCAATTTGTGGATTTTTAGCGAGCATAATTTACGTTACGCCGGTAGTAAAAATATACAATGTGCTTAATTTACCATTTCAGATAATACATATTGTATAACATTTATAGGGCGGGCAGTGGATTTTGAACTTGGTAGATTTCTATGGTGGAACGTTTGTTATTTTTGGCTTAGCTATTCTTGAAACAATCAGCATTTCATGGATATATGGTAAGTTTCTTTTCGTTTATTATGCATATTACCAATACCTAACAGTATTACACACGAATAAGAGATAATTTCTTAGGACCAATTCTTTGGTGGAATCCTAATTTCAGACGAGAGAAAAGGTCCTATGATTATGAATTTGGTCAAATCTCTACCATTCAACGCTTTGATTAAGAAAGTTTTTAACTTGATCACACAAAAATTAATTATATATACTATGAATACACTAAATTGTTTGAATTCCATTGATAAAATAATAAATTCTCGCGTGATTCAATTTCTTTAAATGCTAAAAGAGTTATAAGTAAAAACCTATAATTTTCGATACCTAAAAGTTACGGTTTTTGTCCGATTTAAACATTTTTCAAGGCGGTGCTTAAGGAGGCAAATTTTGGTACAGATTGGTGAAGTAGTTTACGAGATATATGTATATACATATGAGGCAAGGTTGCGTGTTTTTGAATTAGTCAAATCACGAATCCATAAACCAAATTTATTTTTGAATTGAAAGTTGCATCACAAATCCTAAATAAATATGATTTGAGATATGATTTGCCGACCAAATGAAAAATAAAAATTATTTATGATTTGATTCGTCAACCAAATAAGAAATCAAATTTATTTGTGATTTGATCCGTCAACCAATTAAAAAATACGTTTTATTTGTGATTTGCTTTATCAACAAAAAAAAAAATTATTTGTATTTGTGACTTGATTTGTAGAATTTCCAGTTCTATGAAAAATAGTGCTCACTACTTAGAGATTTTCGGGCTACTTCGAGATTTCCAGGATTTTCGAAACTCTCCGGAATAAATGGGAGTCTTCAGGATTTTGGAGACCACTTTGGAATATTCGAGACTTCTTCGGTATTCTCGGAACAATATTGGAATCTTCGGGACTACTTACTTCAGGATTTTTGGGACCTTTCTGGGCTTTTCGCGAACACTTCGAAATTTTCGCGACTGCTTCCAGGTTTTCAGGATTATCGGGACTTCGGAACTACTTCGGGATTTTTGGGACTATTTCGGGATTTTCGACACTACTTTGGGTATTTTGGGATTCGAGACTGCCTCGATTTTTTGGATTCCAGGGACTATATGTGTATGTATATACATATCAATAAATCTATCGATAACTTTATCGAGAAATGTGTTCATAACAATATCGATAAATATATCGATAGCAGTATTGAAAATTTGTCCCAAAAATACGGAATTGACAAAAAATTAACAGGACAAATGAGAAATAAAGGATTTGCTTTAAAAGCCCAACTAGGAACCATATATTAACAAAGGTGATCCATTTCAACGAAATAATGCTCTGATTAGTTATAAGCAGGGAACGGATTTTTAGGACCTAAAAACCTATAAAAAAGGCAAAAGAAAATAACGAAATAGGCTGGAAAAGGCAAAATAAAATAGCGAAAAAGGCAGGAAAAGGCAATAGGTATTGCAAAAAAGGCAAAACAAAATAGCGAAAAAGGCAAGAAAAGGCACTAGGTATTACAAAAAAAGCAAAATAAGGCACTAAAAAAGACGGAAAATACTAAGAACAATCAAAAAATACATTTATTTTAGAAATGTTTATATTACAAGTAAAAAGAGAAAAACTATGAACTAGGTTCATTATATGAAAAATTTGTACTTTGAATCTTTGACTATTTTATCCTTTCGGGTTTCTAACTCATAAAACATTAATCTGTATAGTTGTAGTAACACTGAATGCACAAGATGTATTTTGAAGTTTTCTGGCAGCATTTTCATTCGATTTTCGTGAAGAAAAGCCTTGAATGTACTAAATGTGCGCTCGACGTAAGTTGATACAAGTGGAGCCCAATTTAAATATAGAACGTTTGAAACGTTCATATTATCAGGAATAAGGGCGTTTTCCTCGCCCTTAACAATTTTATCCACACCCGTTATTGTATCCAAGCCTACGTTAGCTGAGAAAACGGATTTGAATTTTTCTAACACCAATTTGTGTGTGGCATGTGTATATTTTTTAATCGTTTTTTGTTATTTTTTGGCCTTATAACAATTATATTCAACAATTTTTATTGAGCTCGAGGCCGTTTTTCCGCTTTTCTACAATAAATTTTCATTAAAAAACGGCCTCGAGCTCAATAAAAATTTTTGAATATATTTTTTTAATCTTAAAAAAAAAATTGGTAATGCTATAATCACTTTTCTAAAGGTAGAAAAGGCAAATATCTTAAAAAAGGCAACATCAAATGTGTATGTATGGAATCAGGGAAAGCTAAATCGTGAACATTCTTAATCGAATATACTCTATCTCTTTAGCAGAAAAAAAGGCAATTTCCATAAAATCCGTTCCCTGGTTATAAGTTTATGATAAATTTCGTTTATTTCATGGAAACACTTTTTAATTTATACAAAAATATGTATGTACGTATGTACGTAAACATATAATTGGCAAAACCATAAAAGCAAAGTAAGAGATACAGTTGCGGTCAAAATAATAACAGCAAAATTCAAAATGATGCTGTTGGCAACTTATCTTTATTTATTTATTGTTAATAATTTTCGTTTAAAATATGGGTCGATCTATATCAGATACCACATAAATGAAGGTTCCAAAGCTTGCAAAAAGTTCACAAAAATTAATTAAACTTAAACAATTTTCTTAAAAATTTCGATATTTTTAATTAGATTTCATAGAAAGATGTTGAGTATTCGGTTTTATAGCCCATTCAATTTCAGTACAATAAAGTGCAAGTTTCAAGTCGCTAAAAATTACAATTGATTTTTTAATTTTTTTTTTGTGGAGGGTGTTGCGCATTTTCTTCCATATAAAAGTCAGTTTTGTTCATGCACTAAAGAAAATTCGCAACACCGTCCACAAAAAAAAAATTCAAAAAAATCACCGGTAATTTTTAGCTATATTTTCTTACAGAGTTGCATGCAATAATGCTGCTCACAATAGCCGCGATAAACCATGGCCATGTTGAGTAGAAGTTTACAGGTTGAAAAGAATATAAGAAATTGCCGAAAATACGGGAAATCTTGTCCCGGCGGAACATTTCAAATTTAATGCAAAATACGGGACGTCTCGGCAAATACGGGGCATTTGGGAACGCTATTAGATACGTACATCGATAAATATATTAATAACGAAATCGATAACAATATCGATGAATATGTACTAGAGTGGCCTTTTTTGGTCGATTTTCAAAAACCGAAAGTTTTCGCACGAAAAAGACATGAGGTTGGCAAGGAAAATAAATATGAAATTTGTTTTCTCCGGATCCGGAAATTCCGAGTGGTTCCGGGTTGATCATTTTGATTTTTTAGTAGGAAATATGTTGAAACTGTAATTATGATTTTAAATTTTCAGCTTTTACGACCATGAAACCCAATTTTTTATTCCTGAACTATTTTTTATTGAAAACTGAATACATTTACCTTTTTAAAGTGCTCAAAAAGTCTGACATTGATTGAAATACCATGGTACACGATAATATAAGAGCTGAGAAAAATATGAAATCATCATTTATATCAATATATCATTTAATATCTAATAATAATAATATTTAATATCATTTTAAATAAAGCATAATGTAGAATTTTTCTAATATATACTTAAAAAAAAGAAATGCAAAATAAAAGAAATTGGTGTAATTTCGCCATTTTTGGTCGAAAGCTCAACCCGGAACCTCTAGGAATCACCTGAAGGCTTTTAAACTAATTACGTATTTATTTATATCCCCAACTTCACATTATTCTGTGCGAAAACTTTTGGATTCATGCATTTCAAATTTTTCATACAACAAAAAGGCCACTCTTAATATGTACAAATATCGATTGCGAAATCAATAAATATATCGATATCAAAACCGATAAATATAACTCAGATTTTGAAATTGTCCCCAAAATCCAGATAGTCAAATTGTCCCAAAGATCCCGAAATATTCCCAAAAATCCCAAAGACTTGCTAAGCACCAGTGCTGGAAGTTGGAAATCGTATTTGCATTGCATAAAAACGGTATTATTTAGTTGAAAAATCACGAATAAAATTGATTCGCTATACAAATCAAATCACAGATAAATTTTATCTTTTATTTCGTTAACGAATCAAAACACAAATAAAAGCTATTTTTTATTTGGTTGACGAATCAAATCACAAATAAATTTAATTTCTTATTTAGTTGACGAATCTATCACAAAAATCTTATTTGGTTGACAAATCAAATCACAAATAAAAAAAATATTAGTTTTTATTTGGTCAACAAACCAAATCATAAATCAAATATATTTCTTAATTAATAGCGAATTTTAAATCAAAAAGGATTTGAAAACACGCAACCCTGATATGAGCAAATCGCACGAGTTGTTACATCATTCGACAAAAACGGGTTTTTGGTGGTGGTACACCTATCTTAGAAAATGAATTATATTTAAAGAATGTACACGAAAAAAACTGGTCGCACATAACCAAGCATAGCTCGGTTAATCATAACATTAAAATAAAAATCGGTAGACACTTAAAAAGCTGGAAGCATTTTCCACCTTACTGCATCATTTCTTTTTAGTAACAAAAATCAGTGTAGAAACGAGGACCAAGAAAGAAATCGATCGCGAGTTAATATTGCGCAAAAAGCTGGAAAATCCCAGCATGTTCCATAACGACATCGCAAAAAAGCTAAAATTTCCAAAGTCTACCGTTACTTATGTGCTTAAAAAATACAATGAATGTTTATCTTTAAAAAGGAACCCTGGTAGTATATACAAAAAGTATGCAAAACAGCAGGACTACGTTCTTACAAAGTGAATGCAGCACCTAATCGCAACGGTAAGCAAAATTTGTTGGCGAAACAACGTGCTCGGAAATTGTACGACAGTCTCATACAAAAATTTGGCTGTATTGTTATGGATGACGAATCGTACTTAAAAGCCGATTTTAAACAAATCCGGGGCCGCGAATTTCACACTGCAAATAAAAGAGGCAATGTTGCAGATAAATATAAAAACAAAAAGTTTGACAAA